GATGGGAACCAGGTTCTCCAGCAGCTCCATGTTCTTCCTGCTTGTCCAAGCTGCCTGGTTTTCTGCTTTCCCCTGTCCATCAAACTCAGCCTTCATTGAAGACTTTTGGCTGGAGTGTCCCATCTGTTCCTACCCCACTAGAACAGAGCAAATGCTTTCTTCCTTCTCAGTGTCATGTTGGGGAGTTGCTATGGTCTGTGCTCTGCTCTCACGAGCTGTGTGCCCCTTGATCTTAACCTTTCATGCACAGTGAACCATACCTCTCTCCAGAGATGGAGGGTACATCTCTTCTATCTCCTCAATTCTCCCACCATGACTTGCTGCTTGTCTTTTCTCTTTGTAGGTTTATTTATTTTTATTTCTTGTGTGTGAGTGTTTTGTATACATTTACATATTTGTACCACATGTGTGCCAAGTGCCTACAGAGGCCAGAAAAGGGCATCATATCCTTTGAAACTGGAGTTGCAGATGGTTGCCTTGTAGATTCTGGGAACTGAATCCGGGTCCTCTGCAAGAATAACAAGTGCTTTTAATCTGCAAGTCGCTTCTCTTGCCCTTGTCTGTCCTTTCTTTTCCCATTATCTTCCTCTCACCTTGGTATGACTATGTTGATGTAGGGAGGCCCAGGAAAGATGGAGGGAAGGGAGAAAGAGACAGAAGGAGAGACAGGATAAAAGAGAGACTATAGAAGGGAAGGGAGGAGGAAAGAAGTAGAGAGGGGAGGGAAGAAGGATGTCGTGTCACTGTTCTGGTATCTGCTGTGAGAAGGCACGGACTCCCCAGCCCCCGCATCCTTCCCCATTGCGCAGGCATTGGCAGCTGTACTCTACAGGAAGCCGACAGCTTGGTGGTTCCCTCCTGTGGCTGCAACCCCAGGGACATGGCGTGAGCGTGCTCCATGTTACATTGTGCAGAAATGGGCTCAGAATGTGTGGTGGCACACAGGAAGGGGTAGGTGGTGCTGGAGGTGATAAGCTCCTCATTCCTAATGGACTCCTTGCCTTCCCTGCTGCACGGGGCCGGTCTTATCATGCAGGAAGCTGGCAGGCCGTGTGTTAATCAATTGATAGCATCACTTGGCATCCTGCAGCCAGCTGAGGCTTTCTAGGAGAACAGGTTGCTGATTTCCAATCTCTCCATCCGCTCCGAGGTCGGAGGCAGAGGGAGCGGTGGGACTTCTCCCAGAGCTCTGGAGACAAGCCAAAGCCTGGCACAATCTACTTCCCCTGTGGAAGGAAATGAACCCCCAGATAGAGGGGAGAAAGGAGAAGAAGAAAATGCCAAGAATGTCCCGGGGGAAATGAAACTGTCATATGACCAGTGTCTCCTTTTGTTGGGAGGACGGGTGGGTATTAACCAGGACAAGTTCTGCTCAAAACCAACCAGCCAAGGAATGCAGGATCTTGCCCAGTTATCCAGCCCTCTGCAATCACAAATACTTTTCACATCTCCCTCCTTTTGCTTTCTTCTCCACCCAACCTCATGACCCAGAATTTTCTACCTTCATCATCCACTCTCTGTCTTCAGCCCTTCCTAACTAACTTCAGGCTGACCTCCAGGATTGCATCTCATTTAACTTGTCTGCTTTTAAGAAGATGTATGGTTCCTTAGTGGTGACTTTGCTTATTGCTATTGAGGAGATATCTTCCTGAGATTATCTCTCCTGCCCCAAACATGTTTTCTAGGGGCTTCAGAACTAATACTAAGGGTGGGATTCAGAGTGTCATCAAAATGTCTGTATGAGTAAATCATATGTGAGTGGCTAGACGTTTGGTCCATGGATGATTGAGTAGATGGTTTGGTGAGTGAGTAGATGGATGGGTGGACAAAAGGATGTGTGGATCATTCCATGGATGACTAGATAGACTGGTGGTGGATGAATGGATGGATGGACAAAGGGATAGATGAATGGGCAAATGGTCAAGCCATGAGTGAATGAACAGATGGACCGGTGGGTGATTACATGACTGGATAGATGGATGGGTAGGTGAATCTATGAGCAGCCTAAGGATGTGGTTAGACAACTGGGTGATCCATCAATGGTTGGATAGAAGAGTTAGTGGGTTTACAGGTGAGCGGATAGATGGATGAGCATGAGTGGGTGGGGGTACTGGACTGTGGGGATTTAGGAGAAACAAAGGATGAGAGGAGACACGCAGCAAAGGAGCAGCATTCTTTGTGGTCGCCGTCAGGCTACCTTTTCTGACTGACAAAATGGGATCGCGGCGGCACTTCCTTTGTAGAGTGATTGCTAGATATGAAAGAAATCAAAAAATGGGAATGAGTTGGTACGGAGGAGCTGTTTGTTATTGATGTTGATGATGATGAAGGTGAGGTAAGAGGATGAAGAGGTCCGTGGTGGTAAAGAACACGGCTCACACTGCTCTGGTTCCTTTAGGAGCCCCTGTCTATGAACATGTGATCAGGATGTTATCTCGCCCCTGACATATTCCTGTCCATTAGTTAGAACAGATCAAGAACTATTTTTAAATAAAAAGTAATTTCTATGCAGAGAGCATCCCAGAAGGTATGGATCTCTACCTTGAAGAACTTCGTCGTGTGACTCTGACGCTTAGTTTCCCACATGTCTCTCTATGATCCAGTAGATGGGGAAAGATGAAGAAAAGGGTCAAGCAGAAAACATGGAATGAGGTGGTCATCCACTTCACTTACATTCTGTTGGGAAGAATCAAGAACATTCTAGTGGTAGAGCCTATTGGATCTGCAAAGAATGCTGGATGTCACTTTTCTCAGAATACAAACAATTATTTGTTGAACATACCACCGTTTCTGATATGCCCATTTCAAGTCCACCTCAAACTGAGATGTAGGCTATGGTCCATGGCGTCCTGACCTGACCCCGTACCTCTAGGCCACTCTTATTCAATCCCGGCTCTGAGATGCCATGCCAGACATCCGACCCCCCCACCCACCTCATCTCTCTTATAGTAAAAATTCTCAGAACGCCTATCTTAATGCCAAGTAGGGAAGAGAGCGGGTGGGAAGCCGATTCCTAAAGGATACTATTTTCCTCCCACATAACATGGCCACACTCTTGACCTCAGGCTCTGGGGAGAGCCTCCTCCCTTCCTTCCTCCTCCTACTCCTCCTCACAATCTGGGTCATGCCAGTTTATACTTGGAGTTAGCTTTTTTTTCTTCATTTTAAGAATCCAAAGCAATTAAAAATATGTTTTGCAAAAGAATTTTTTGTTTAAAAAAAGTATCTTTTACCTCAGCAGGGAATTCTGCTTGCCCAATTTCAGCTGGAAAAGAATTGAACCCGACAACATGTTACTAATTGGGGCATCTGTGCTGCCCCTTCTTTGGGGACTCAAGGTTTCAACAGCCTCCCTGTGCCGTGTGGATTCTCCAGTTTATAGAACGGACACAGAACAGTGCCTGGGAGCGGTGTTGTCTCAGACAGAATGAACAAAGCAGCCAAAGTGTGTTTGGGGGAGAGTCCCTACACCTGTGAATCTTTCACCTTGGAGCTGAACCCAGAGAAGAACGGATGGCCTTCCTTGATGACCTCCCACCTAGGGGCCAGGGGGCAGCATTGGGGCTATGGACCCCCCCTCCACGTATGTTGCTGATAGTCTCGGACTGTAGGTACAAATTCTAGCTGACATCTTTCCCCATTGATCCTTGGGTTGAAGTCAAAGCGGCAACTTCTCTGACCGTCCGTTTTCTTGTCTTAACATGAGATAGAAAAGCATCAATAGGCAATGGAACTATATCTGGGGGCACAGTATCAGTTCAGACCTTAGCGCTTAGTCAGTTTCTTTGCTTCTTTTCTGGGCTTTATGGAAATGTCAAGTCTGTGTAGGGGTCAGCGGGTTTCTGAGGCCCTCTGTGCTGTGACAATAATCACTGGCTTCTTCCCCTTTATAGTTCCATACATTGCCCCTGCTCAGCGAGAGAGCAAAGACAATGTCCAAGCAAGCTGGTCCCGGGCCTCTAAAGATGAACTTTCTCTGGCCAAGCCTGTTGAACACTTCAGAATCATATAGACAAACCGAGCGCAGACAAATCTTAAAGCCATTGCCCCTTTCAGCACTTGAAACAAGCTGCCCACATGTCAGTATGGAGCCAGAAAACTGGGGTTACTGAGTTTGCAGAACCCACAGAGGGACAGGATTGTGATACACTGGGACAGAACGTAGGTTTACTGGGAGGGTCTACTAGGGTGCCATCCAGGAGTTCCACGGTGGTATCTGGCCACACTTGGGTGGCACACAAGAATATTAGGGTGGTACGCAAGTGTGCTGTTTGCTCCCCAGCCATGCTAGGATGTTACACTGGAAGGGTCCACCTAGGTTATATGCAGCCTATAGAGATGGCACTCCCAGGTACTCTACCGGACCACAGTGGTACGGTACTGAGATGGTACACCATACGTAAGGATGTTACACAGGTATTTGGGGGTGGTTTCAAGAGACACAGGGATATGGCTCCTGTATATAAACAACTATACTAGGATGTAATACAGATAACCCAGGATGCCATATTAGTTCATTGGAATGACATGTGCCAAGATTTAGTAAAAAGAGAGGCTAACTGGATTCTGGAAAGGACCTCATTACTATCACCTCCAAGACTCATCTCACCACGTGTGACCGTGACTGACCATGCCTATTCTGTCTCCTCAGGTGGAGACCAACAGTGAGACACGGACAGTGTAGTCTTTGGGATAACCCACAGGCTCCCCAGTTCTGTTGTATTGCTCAGGGTCCTGTAATCTTGAATGGTCTCCTAGGCTTCTAATGGCATGGCTTCTTTCTCTCATTGCAAATGAGGAAATGAAAAGCCTTCTTTGTAAGCTTGTAAAGTGGGGCTACTGTATTGTGTGTAAAGAACAAACACGCATAACTCAAGGTTGCCTGGAATTCTAAGCGGCCCTTAGAAACTACAGAACAGGGAGATAAGAAGGAGTAATAATTTGTCACAGACAAGTTTTGAAATTTGGGCTTCATTATTTAGTAGATCTGAGACCTTAGGCAAGTTCTTATTGAAGCTTTACTCATTTTCTCTGTTAAAAAAAAGGCGAATGAATATTTTTGTAAAGAGTTGCATTAATCTACAAGGAATCTGGGAAAAATTGCAGAATCTCCTATGCTGGGGCTATGGATGTATCTCTGTCAATCCCATGCTCATCTTCCGTGTATACAGACCCAGGTTCCACCCCAGCATTGCATACAACTAGGTGTGATGGCATGTCCCTGCCTTCCCAATACTCCAGAAGTAGAGACAGAAGAATCAGAAGTTCAAGGTCATCCTTGGCTACATAGAGTTAGAGGCCTACCTGGACATGAGACCCTACCTCTCTTACACACAAACACCTCCTATAATAATAGGGTTAAGGAAGCAGGATGCCAGCCTACTCTCAGATGGGCAAGTACAGGGATACAGAAACCTTTGCCTTCTTGACCCCATGATAGGAATTGTATAAATGTGATGCTTCCCCCATGCCAGTCCCATGGAAACCTAGGCTTTCAATATAGTTTTCCAGAAGGAAATAGGGATACTAAGCACCCGTGGCTGGACACCTTCACTTTGAGAAACCTATATCCAACTGATCCTGGAAGATGAAAGCCACTCCCGTTTCTGTGTCCGGGTAGTCAGTTCCTCTCGGCAGACCCCTGCCTCTGTGGCTCTGGAAGCAGTGTTATTCAGCTGCAGTGAGCTCCGATGAGCCCTTGTGGTCATTAAAACGAGCCAGTGGCACCTTGTCCTGAAGAAGAGGAGCGACCTTGACAGCTGTGGCCCATGCCAAGTTCACATTAGGGTAATTAGAGCAGTTCCCTCTCTAGGCCTTCTCCACGATCGCTAGTGTCCATGTTCTTCTTTCCCTGGAGTGTTCTGGAGACTTCTGTTGGCCTTGCCAGAAGGGCTTGCTGTCCTTGAGGTATTGCTCATCACCTACATGAGGAAGACACCCAAATCTCTGCAATGACCAGAGAGGGTAGCTGGGTGAAGGGATAGCTCTGTGGCTATCACCGTAGGAAATCCTATCTTAAAAGATCTTACTGGGGGGGGGCATTAAGGCAAGGAGATGATCAGTTCTATTGCCAGCGTGACTTAAAGGATGGTGACAACAGGTTTCCCAGCTGCTTCCTCACTGTCACATTGTCACCCTCTGACCATAGCTGCATCTGTCCTCTCTGCTAACACGGGGCACGCTTGGAGCATCTTGTTCCTCTTGCGCTTCTCACAATGATCCTAGAATTCGAGGGGTGAAGCCTCTCCTCCATCCCTCTCATTTTGAAGAAGAAATCATGGGTCGGAGAAAACAAGACCATACTGAAAGAAAAAAGAGTAGAGTTGGACCAGACTTGGAAAGCAGCTCTCTCCCCCACCCCACCCCCATATTGCACCTCTATCCAAGAGCCCATTTCTTCTCTCTCAGCTGCGGCTCTGTATCAGCTCCTCCCGTTGCTGTGACAAAATGCCAGGCAAGACCAGCTTAAAGGCCATCTGGGCTCCCAGCTTGAGGATGCCGACCATCATGGCAGAGAAGGCAGGGTGCGGAGTAGCATGCGGCCACTGGTGACATTGTGTCCACAGACAGGAAACGAAGCACATGAATGCTGGTGATTGACTCTGTTCACTGTTTCAATTCAGCCCAGATCTAAAGGGATGGCATCACCACCTACACTCAGGAAGTGTCTTTCCTCCTTAGTTAAGTCTGCCTGGAAACACCCACAGGTGGGTCACTTAGGTGATTCTAAATCTCAGCAAGTAAGCAGCAAAGATAAATAATCACAGTTGTCCTTCCTTTCCCAAAGCAGACATATGAGTGTGATAGAGCTGGACCTTCTCTGCCTTTAGCAAAAGTGTCTAGGCTACTATTTTTGGAAATCACAATAACGTAAAACATGTAGGGGTAACAGAAAGCACTGCCATGTTTTCCATGGGGCAATTTTCTTGGGTATCACCTGGAGGGATTACCATAAGGATACAGCCTTTGTGATCTGCCTTAAAGATGACACACCGCTAGCCCAGGGCCCACCCTTTCCATCCGTTTCTCCATCTCCCACTCAGTGACTGTGGGCGTCTCACTTTTCCCCCTCTCCTCATAGTTAGTTTGCTAAACAAACTATCTCAGCGTATTGCTTGCCAAGAAGATACCTTCAACTTAATGCGCCCATGTCTCTCACACCTGGAAACGTTTCCAGGAGAGTCCCACAAAGAGCGTCACGGGTGGGATGATTTCTCTTTTCCGCCAAACGAATCCTGATTTCTTTTCATTTAAAGCTTAACAGTGTCATTAAAGCCCTCCCCCGATCAGCTGGTTTTTATTTTTCTTTTTTAAGTGTAAAATCTATTCTAGTGGGTAGGTAGAGCCTGTGCTATGGTTAAGCGCTTACTTTTATTGTCTGTCTGGGCACACTGCTCAGCTGCAGGTGGATGATCAATCAATAATATCATAAAGGCAGGTTCACTCTGTGCCTTCCCCACAGATAGCTTCATTGTGCCCACACTGTGGAGGGTGGGGGAGGCTAAGATCTGTGTGTCCTTCTCGTCTTGGGGAAAGCAGACTGGTAGCTGGTTCCTGCCTGGTTATTTGTCTGACATTGCGGCCAAGGCCATGTGTCCTTTCTCTGGGTTTCCTGAGTCTTTGCAAAGGGAACATCCACTGGCCATTGGAAGCAGGGCAAGAGGACTCCACAAGAGGATGTAGCTGTGTCCTTCCTAGCTAGATTCGGGGTGGTGGCCGGATGCAGGATTGGTGCCTCCCTTCCAGGGCTCGCCCTAAGCTGTCAGGAGGGAGGTCATCAGGCAGCTACCATTGCCACCTTCTGTAAAAAGAAACAATGCTCCCTTCTTCCAATAGAAATGATGTGAACATCCATGAGTTCTTCCCTTCAAGATGGGGCAGTGTGATCCAGTGTTGTTAGTGAAGGCCTGGATGAGAGGCTAGGAGGAAAGGTGCTCTCAGCCCATAACTCTGCTTCCTTCTTTATACCCCATCAAGAAATGTGGCCATGAATCCCTCACTTCCCATTGGGGTTCTTCAAAGACCTTCACTGTGGGGCTTTGCATAGTTACAGACCATGCTGTCCATCAGAAAGTATATTCCATCAGAGTGGGAACTGGGTTCAGTTCTCCTCATGGGACCAATCTTTAGTGCACACCTGCTTATTCACTGGCTGGCTGACACTTTCCAGTTCCGGAACTGACACTTCTAACAGCCCATTGCCTCATCGTGGCAAGAATTTTCCTCCTTCTTAACAGCAACGTTATATATGACATATATAATAACTTAATAATGTGCCTCTCTCTATATATATACCTCACCCATTTAAAGTGTGATATCTAAAGAGCACCAGTTTATTTATAGAGCGGTGCAACCATCACACTCTTCTAACTTTAGAACACTTCTGCTGCCCCAAAAGGCAGCTCCATGGTCATCAGCAAGCACTGCCTATTTCTTCCCATACCCCCAAGTCCTGACAAGTACCGGTCTACTTCCCGTCTCTCCAGGTCCATTTTTTTTTTTCTGGACCTTACAAAATGAACTCCCGAGCCACGTGCTCATTGCCACTTTCTTCCACTTTTGATTCTCGCCCGTGACCCAGTGCGCATCACTGCCTCGCCCTCGGTTGTGAAATTCATACCGTTGTGGAACGAAACACATTTTGGCTCTCCCACGTATGACTTGCTCTTCTGCTGCTGTGGCCAAATAGCAGTTTAAGGTAGGAAGGGCATGGTTTAGCTGATGGCTCCAGAGGGACGGTTCATAGGGACCGGGAAGACAAGGTTTGGTGGTAGGTGCAGAAAGCACGATGCTCACATTCTATCTGCACACAGGAAGCAGAAAGAGCAGGAAGTGGGGAGAGGCTATACATTCTTAAAACCCACCCTCTAGTGATTCACTTCCTCCAACAAGGCTCCACCTTCTTAAGGTTCCATAACTTCCCCTAACTCTGTACCACCACCCAAGGTTCTGGGATTCAAACACCTGAGCCTGAGCCTGTGGGGGGCCATTTTCCATTCAAGCACCACATCCCATCACAGGTTAATATACATTTCAGTGATTGCCGTTTTTTTTTTATTTTAATGATCGATGTCCCTCTGAATTGCATTCACATGTCTTTGCATGGAAATGCTAGAGGCAAGGTCTCATGTAGTCCATCATGGTCTTGAACTTGACATATTGCTAAGGATGACCTTAAACTCCTGATCCTCCTGCCTCCACCTCCTTATGTGCCGCCATGCTGAGTTTCCTCGGCATGTGTTCCTCAGTGGTGTGAGGAGATAGAACCCAGGGCTTTGTGCCTGCCAGGCAGGCGCTGGGTCTGACTTGATTCAGGTGCTCATCTATGGAGACTCTGTATAAAAGACACCCCAGTCCAGGCAAAGGACAGGAGTTAAGAAGTCTCCTCAGAAACCTCTGAGGTAGATAGAGCAAGAAAAGATGGCAATGAGTTCTTTTTCAGCAAGGAAGCTGTATGTTTTATCCTTCATCTGAGATAGAACTGTGTCTGTACTCAGTAAGGACATTTCTTAAAGTTACTAATTTCATTCCTACCACCTTTTAGGACATTTTGCCTTTAATGATAACCACAAGTTTACACAATGAGGAGGGAAATGGGCCTCCTAGAATGTAATAGTATTGACTTAGCCATATGTCAGCTATTCTCAGCTATTCCAGACCAACACTGTGGTGCCCCCCCCCCCGCCTCAGCTGTCTGCAATTGTGCCATGAGACATGCTGGCAACTTGGAGCTGCAGTTCTGCCTAGCCCTGTGGATCAATATGGATCCTTCAGGACGTGTCAGACTTGGGGAAGATATTTGCAGGTTCTCGGGTAGAGAAGCTCCGCCGTGAACCACACAAAGTGGCTCCTAGCTCACCCCCTACCCTTGTCACTGCCCCTTCCTGAGCTGGCCTACAAGGGCGAGCAGCAAGAGAGCAGAGGCCAACTGGAAAAGTCCAGCACATTTTGGGGCTACAAAATGACAGTCAGTGATACTTCCAAGTTGAGTAGTGACAAGCAGAATCGAAGAAAAAGCGATGCTTATGAAAAGTATGATGGAGAGAGCCTCCATCCAGGGACCTCCTGCTGTCTCCTGCACACTAAGTAACATGCTTCCCCAGCCATTCAGACTCATCCACCCACTCACCGACTGATGTGTCTTAACCAGCTAGTGACAATTAGTGACAGAGCCTGGCCCTTCAGATGTGACCTCTAGCTCCTTCCCAGGCTTGACACAGCCTGAGTTGTGCCAGGCACCTGGGAGAGACCATGGTGAAGACTGAGAAACCCACAAACTGTAACGTCATACATAAGCATGCCATCCGTTTGTCCAGACACCATCTCTTCACCCAGCAACACAGTGACCAATCCTGGTATCCAAGAAGCCCATCTGAGAGTGACGCTCTGGCTCCCTAGGAACGCCAAGCAAATCACCCAGCCTTTTAAATCTCAGACCTCTCAGCTGATAAGCGGAGGCAAAGGCGTTACCACCTCTTAGGGTTGTTGTGGCAAGTAAATGAAACTGGAGTCCACAAACGTTGTCTGTTACTATCAGAAGTCGTTTTGTGCTTACGTTTGGAAATGAAGACTTGTATTCTAGGAGCTTCTGTTGGGGCTAGGGTAACACCCTCCGCTTCTAGAAGCCTTTCACCAGCCCCGGCAGAATGGAAGGCCCCGGTCCCATCTCTCCAGACACAACCCTGGTTGGTAGGACCCTTTGAGTTCCGTGGCCTGACCCTCACGTCCCCACCCTGCTTTGCCAGGAAAGAGATAGGCGTCTATACTGGCAGGGATCCAACCAGAGCAAACTTTGGGGTTCAGAGGACACAGGAAAAGGACATTTCAAGGAACTTCCTACTTCCTCAGAAATGGTCTTCTTGTCTCCCAACTCACGTGACCTCCTGGAATACCAGTCACCTTCTGAAAGCAAACATATCCAGGAAGAATGCCCGCACGGGTCTTGTGATGGGCT